GACTCCACAAGCGATTCATCCAGGAGAGAAACCGTTAGACGCACTCCGAGCCAGTTCTGATGTCAGAATGAAAGAGCACATCCAGTTAGCCAAGGTAAGAGAAACAGGACTACCCTGAAAAAGGGACCCAACTCAAATATCTAACAGATGTCGATGAAAGCAGCACAACTATTATATTTCAATTCATGATATCTTCATAAAGTCAAAATTAACATGATTTATTTTTATCAGATCAATTTAATCCCATCCAAATGAAGTAAACAAGTCTGGTCCAAAGATAATAACTTTTGTTTTGTCTGCATTCAGGAGCAGAAAGAGTCATTCAGGCTTTTCTTGAAGACATGCCTGTAGTCTATGTAATGGTTTACATAGACTACAGGCAGAGAGTTGGCCCTAGCACTGATCCTTGTGGTACTCCACAGATAACCCCGTAGCTTAAAAAAATTTTTATTGACGTGAACAAACTGTCAGAAATCTGTCAGGCTGATGAGATTTACAACTTAGTGCTGTTCCCCTAATTACTAAAACACGTCCAAGCTTTTTTAAATTAATATTCAGCTTTGCTTGATCTTTTTTTCATTATGAACATATTTTCTAAACAAATACAAAGAGGTAAAAAAAACATTTACTGAGTTACTATGAGAGGGGGGGGGGGACTTTTACAGTAATTAAATTTTGCGCAGAAAAAGAAAAAGGGCATCGTGTTAACAACTGCTTTATTTGTACTCTTAGAACAAGTGGATATATATTGTTCCATTTAATTAACCAAAACTGGCGAAAAATATAAAGGTGATAATAATGGGCTTTAATAAGTATCTAATGCTAGTGAGCTGATGTCAGATTGTCATTCATTGCAGGAAAAGTTCCATGTAAAGGATTTAAAAATTTTTGTAGCCGATTCATTTCGTCTGTATTTCCATTGTGGATCTTTCTGTTCTGAATGCTAATATGAACTGTTTGAGTTTTTTTCTTTTGGATAGTTGGAGATGACAGAAGCTCTAATAAACTCATAAACTGGGATATAATTATGGTTTCCCTGTGGCAACATAAAATAAATGACTTATTATTTCTGCTCTTTGCTAAATTTACTGACTTGGATTTTATTGCTTTAAAATATTTTATCATAATCAGCAAAGAAACAAACAAAAAAAAACGATGGAACCCTTTAAACACTTTTATTTTTTTATATATTTTTTTTAAGTTTTGAATGCAATGCTTATTTATTTTGATCAGTTTTAGCCTCCTGCCAGAAGGGGGCGCTAGCTAAGTTAATGTATCACCTATTTTTCAAACAGGAAGCAGTTGTGTTCGGTAACATCCGGTGCGGTCGTTAGCATCGTTAGCTTAGCTGTGTTTTTGTTATCGTGTGGGGACCCAGTCTGAGTCTGCGCAGCAACAATGTGTTCAGTTCAGCCTCTGAGAGAGTTTATCAGACAGAGACTAACTGCTGCTGCTGAAGAAATCTTCTCAGAGGTGGAAAGAACCATCATCCAGTACGAGGAGGAGATCGACCGTCAGCGCAGACTGCTGGACATCAGCTGGAGACCCCGAGCCGTTCAGAACCCCGCAGGTGGGTCCGGTAACCGGCAAATTAAAATAAATTAGTTAATTTAGTTGGTATCTACTGTCTGTTTCGTTATGGGGTTTTAAAAAAAAACACACACTCCTCAGCTGCCCCTCAAAACAAACCACCAGAAGCAGCTATAAATTGCCTGTGATAACTGCGATAAGGTGTTGGTTGAAGGTTCGTTTTACTTTTAAACGTGACATTTCCTAAAAGGGATGTGGGTTGACTGTCTCCATGGTAACATCTGTCAATCCCCCCAAAGCTCCCATCAGCAGCTCACTTTCTGTGCTGTGTTGGTCAACTCCCTGAGGGCAGATTTAGGAAACTAGCTCCTCCTGTCGTGTCATGAGCTACAGGAACCCATTGGTGGAGAAACAGGTCCAAACATGGGTGGGGAAAGGTGTTGGCAAGAATTAGAGGTGGTAGAGAGTCCATGGACGACACTGAAGCGGAGACCAGAGATGATGGTGATGATGGAATGATTTCAGCTCATGTTAGATAAGGTCACACTGAGATGGTTAGACATGTCCAGAGCTGCCATGCTGGAGGACAGAGGGAAAGAGGACATGGATCAAGATGAATCGATATGGCGACTTTTAAAAGGCAGCAGCAAAAAGAAAAGGTTGTCATGGAGACCGAAACCTACTGAGAGGTGGTCCTATATTTCACATGATTTATTAGTTGAGAGAAAGTTTCGGTGAAAATATTTTTTATAGACGATCCAGAGCCATGGAGGTAGGACATTTTTGTCACTGAAAGACCAAGAAAAGTCAGATTGCTATAGCATCCAGTAGTTCAGCTCATCCAAAATCCTGGCAGAACTGTGAAACCAGATACTATTGGTAATTATTTCTCAAAATCCAAACCATGATAGAAAAAAAAAAAATCAACGGATTGAGAGTTTCTACTCCATATTATATTTCTGTATTAGTGTGAGAGATGTATTATGGTTACCTCCGACAAAGATGTTATATGCCCAACGGCTTTAATTTGTCTGTTTTCAAAATAGAAAAAAACTGCAGAAATTTTTTGAGAAGGTGCATGTTGTGACTGGCAACATATGATTATATTTTGGTGATGATCCACATCTCCCTGGATCCAGAGATTTTTGTTTTTGTAGGATTTTTATCATCGGGAGATAGGGCCATGTTTTGAAAATAATAATAATAATTGAACTTAATTGATCTCACATTAGAGAAATTTACCCTTTGGGAGCAGTGGGCTGCCATCATGGGACACCCGGGGAGCAATCGGGGGTTAGGGGTCTTGCCCAGAATATAAGTATAAAACTTTCTATCGAATGGAAATACTTCTTGGCCAAAATTGATGTTAGAAGGTGTCAATAATTGCTTTAGCTTATGACCCTTAGGTTTTGATCAAGACTGGATTCTATAATGCAGAACGCATTCAAGTGAGGGGATAGTTAGAATTTTGGATGGTGTAAGCTAAGAAATGAAAACTGAAAAACCAATGCAACTACTGCCATATAGTAGCCAGGATCCTGCCGAATCAGTAACATGTCAACAGATTTGATGTGCTTTCAATAGCGCATCAAATCTGTTGACTATATTGTACACCCCAACAAGGCTGGAAAGGGCTATGGGGAAATTGCCAATTCCACTAACCGTGTTTGGAGGAACAAGAATCATCAGCACCATCCCAAGAGCACATTCCCTTCTGTGAAGCATGGGGTGGTAGCATCATGCGTTAGGGGTCTTTTTCTGCACATGGAACAGGAAGACTGCACTATATTAAGGAGAGGATGACCGTGTATTGTGAGATTTTGGGGAACAACGTCCTTCCCTCAGTTAGATCATTGAAGATAGGTCGAGGCTGGGTCTTCTAACAAGACAATGACCTAAAGCACAGAGCCAGGATAATCAAGTAGTGGCTCTGTAAGAAGCAGATCAAGGTTCTAGTGTGGCCTAGCCAGGCTGCAGACCTTAACCCAATAGAAAATCTTTGGAGGGAGCTCAAACTATGTTTATCGGCAAAAGCCAAGAACCCTGGCTGATCCAGAGAAGATCTGTGTGGAGGAGTGGGCCAAAATCCCTCCTGCAGTGAAAAACTACAGGAAACGTTTGACCTCTGTAATTGCAAACAAAGGCTACTATACTAAATATTAACATTGATTTTGTAAGTTGTTTAAATACTTATCTGCAGCAGTTTCATACAAATAAATAGTTAGAAAATCATACATTGTGATTTCTGGATTATTATTTTTAGATTATGTCTCTCACAGTGGACATGCACCTACAATGACAATTTCAGTCCCTTCCATGATTTCTAAGTGAGAGAACTTGCAAAATAGCAGGATGTTAAACTTATTTGCCTCTCTCTATCTCTAGTGTGTATATGTGTGTGTTAGAATTTTAATTATAAATAATTCAATGGCCAAGTGACCATTTGAATGTCTGAATACAGGTATTACCTTATAACGTCATAAACGCGCTGCTTTGTTTTAAAAAAATATGAATATAAAAAATATAACTGCGGATGTCTGGGGGACAGTGATTCGCCTACATGTTATGAATGCTGGCGTACCATAAATAATAAATTCTGAACAGTTTAGTTTGTGCCTTCAAGTCGTTTGCCCATAGAAAGACGTTACTTGGTTATAACCTAACAGAATATCTTCAGAACGGCTCTAAATGACACAAAACTCATATGGGTGAGTAGAACATGATGTAATAACGTAAAATCAAGGGCCCAATGTAAAAAGATCTCCCTTTAGGGAGTCACAATATGTCAGGGGGAAATTAGCTGCTTGGTGGAGGACTGCGCCCTCCTAGTTCTTTACTAGTTCCTTATTTTTTCATCTGGAAACTTTTTAGCTTTAAATATCTGTTCATTTTTTCTAAATTGTTTACACTTCAGGGGAAAACACGCTAACTAACATTGATTGGTGAGCCACTGAGATAATGATGCACAATAGCCACCCTCTACTAATATCTATGGCAATGCTAGCATGATCAGCTAACCTGCCTCCAACTGTTGATCTCTGTGCGTCACAGCTGGTTTGATATGTTGCCAGAACTCTCCTATCTCCATGGCTCTAGACTGATCCAGATTAAGTGCAGAACCATAGAACATCTGAGGAGTTGGGAGCGGTGCCGCTCATGGTGGATGATGTGACTGGATCCATTGATTCTGACTGATAATTATTTTCTCTGTGTTTTTCTTTCTTCAGATTTCCAGAAACGTTTTCTCAGTACTAATGATGATGATCTCATTGAGCCGCCGCTCTATAACCAGGAGAACCTTTCTGGGCTGGAGGAACCAGACCCAGAACCTCTGAATGAGGGACCAGAATCTCTGCAGATTAAAGAAGAACCAGATGATTTGTACACGGGTGAGGAAGAAGAGCATGCTCGTCTGAAGGAGGAGACTGAGGCTTTCATGGGGAGTCCATCTTATGAGGAAGGAGAACACAGCCACCTAGAACCCGACTGGGACCAGATCCCACCTGAAACATGCCTAGCAGGTGATGATGAAGATCAGGAAGGAGGTGGTCCTGATGAACTGAGCCCTGATGAAGAGCAGAAAGAAAAGGACCAATGTTGGAAGGGAAGCAGATCCAGGAGGGATGAGAATCAGAATCTGTTTTCGTGTAAAATGTGCAGCAAAGCTTTTACTCAGAAGGGAAGCTTGACCAAACACCTGCGGGTCCACACAGGTGGGAACCCCTTCACCTGCCTCAGCTGCGGCCGGAGCTTTCGCAAACATTTCAGCTTGATAGTCCACATGAGGATTCACACGGGAGAGAAGCCCTTCCCCTGTCTGATCTGTGGCAAGAGCTTCTGTCAGAGAGGGAATCTGAACGTCCACATGAGAACGCACACGGGCGAGAAGCCGTTCCCCTGTCTGACCTGTGGCAAACACTTCCAGCGGAAAAGTAATTTAACTGCACACATGAGGATCCACAGGAGGAACGCGCTGTCATTGTGCGGCATTGGGAAGGAGCAGCTCTGAATCGAAGTTAACATGAGGTGTTAGGAAATATAAACGGTTAAAACTTGACTTCTTGCTTTTTTCATTGCAGGAAGCTAAAGAAAAACTTAAATTAAGTGATGAGTGTCTTGATCCTTTTCTAAAATGTTCCTAATGTTTGAAGGTTCCTGCTGCTAAAGGCCAGAACACACCGAATCCGATTTTGAGTCTGATCCGACGGATATCAACAATATGTGTATAACACAGAGACAGAAGTGAAACAAATCTGTGCAGATCTACCCACCCTGCCAAGAGGTAGCCTCTCCATACACAGATTAAAAAGTCGCGCAGAGTCGGTGTGTTCTGGCCCGAACACGCTTATCCTCAAATGATCAGCAGTTCATCAAACGTGCCAAAGTACACTCCTCGTTGCTTTGAGGTTTCTGCTGTTTAGTAAATGGGAGTTCATGCAATGCGACGAGTGATCTGAGCTCACTGCTGCGATCCTTCCTTTATCGTTTATCCATGCATATTTATCTCTGGAATAAAGGAACATCCTGTTTATTAGATGACCCATTATTTGTCCTCTGTAACTTTGCCAACATGCACAGTATTGCTTTTATACTCGGTATAATCAAACAAAATAACAGATCCAAACTTTATGATAAGCAGAATTTTGCCCACAGATTTGAAGGTTCTCATAATTCTCAGCTTGTTGATTAATTTTGTTTCTCTTCCTTTAATAGAAAATAATATTTCTCCTCCTCCTGTTGATTCTCTTAGAACCTGCAGAGTATTTTTACTTGTATGATTTGTAGAAAAACACGAATCTATCCCTCCTGGCTTGTGTTTGTAGTTGTAACAGAAAGCAGATGTTTCTGTTGGGTCTTTCATGTTTCCCAGCCTCTGCTTACCTGGAACGATGGAAGGAAGGCTCCTTTTATTTTGGATTCAATCAGCCTCTGCTGACACCTGTGCAGAGCAGTTGCGGAGCGCAGTTGGTGCACTCCACCTCCTTAGACAAACGACTTCAGCCCAGCTTGGATTGTTAAAGAGGGAAAGGGGAAGGCCATGGCCTGTGGGCCGGTTCTAATGATAATTAAATATCATCCAGGGGCCATGGATAAACAGTTTGCGGGCCTTGATTTTGACATATGTGCTCTAAGGCTTCTCATTCACCATGTCTGCCTGTAGAGAAAATTTTATCAATTGCGTTAAGAGACCAGCTGACCAGATCCATGATTCAGTTTGTAGGTTTTTGGAAGATATGTGAAGAGAGGCTCCAACAGAAGACAAAACACAGAAGCTAAGTAGGATAGACAGGGAGGGAGTGGCAGACAGAGAAAGAGCGTCGTCCTCCCACGAGAGCCACAGAAGAAAAAACTTTCACTCCACTTTTAATTTATTTTTAAATGCTTATTTTTCAGATTATATGATTTTATAGCTATACTTCTACAGTTTTTAGGTCAACGGGTATAAACTACAGTCTTGGAGGGATTATTAATTGTATCTCTGCTTTCACTCTAAGATGAGCTCATTAGAGGTGAATTTCTCCAATGTGAGATCAATAAAGTTCCATAATTATTATTATTGTTATTATTATTATTAGCAGAGTCCTGCATAGCTTGACTTTATACCAGTGAGGTGGTTTAGCCATTTGATTCAGGTGGTTACAGGAGAGAAATTATGGACGATTTAATCAACATTTTAGGTGATGTGACTGACTAACTCAAAACCCATATCAAATCATACTAGACTGGACCGATGATGCAGACTTTTTTTCCTCTAATTTTTAATTGTTTTTTAATTAACTTCTATAATGAAGGACATCACTGCTTATTTTCATCTCCTATTAGAAGAAAATCATTTAGTCTGTTGTCAGTCCCTAAGTTAACCTCAGGAAAGCGCTACTGATGTCAGATCTCCTAAATAACTTCACCTCTCTGCTTAAAGGGATAGTTCGGTATTTTTGACATGAATCTGAATGCCATCCCCATCACCAGTGTCATGCAATCACACTGACTTACCCCTGGCAGCATCCTGTGAGCAGAGTTCCCGTCCAGTTTTGGACAAGCCGAAAGTAGTCCGGCAG